AGTTGTGCTTGCGCCCGCCCTCACTAGAGCCTCCCTAATGGCAAAAAAACGATGTCAGCCAGTCAGCAGAAACTCCGACTGGCCGGTGACTACAGCGAGAAAACGATGACGGCCAGACACCGGAAACTCCATGGCTAGACTGGCCGGTAGCAAGAAATCGATGTCGACCGGTATCGGGAACTTTCCGACTGGTACTGGCCAGTTTAGACAGAGTCCCCGATATCGGCCGGGGCCGGTTTCTTACCGGCGTCCCTGGTCGCGGAATTCGCTGTACAGTTCCCGGTACTGGCCGACGTAATCCCAGTAACGACCGACATGGTGTCCTACTATGGGTGGTAAGGGCAATAGAAATGCAGCTGTAATAAAGAATAGAGCTTTGTGGAATAACAACAGGTATGAGGTGGTGAGGGAAATTTGGAAGGGAGTTATGGTGCCGAGTTCAACTCTTGTAAATCCAGTTCTGTGTATGAAATCTGATATCCAAGCAAGGTTAGAATTAAAGCAACGCGGTGTGGGTAGACTGGCTTTGGGAGCCCATAATAAAACACCGTATCAGGGAGTACCAGCTAGTGATATGGGACGGTCACGGTCATCATTTGAGGGCAGGGACACGCCAGGACACTAGAACACGTCAAGACACTAGAACACGTCAGGACACTAGAACACGTCAGGACACTAGAACACACCAGGACACCAGAACACGCCAAGACCCGTGTGCGCTGGGATACCGCTTGCCCGCCGGAACTTCCCGATGCATTCCAACACTGGATACTGTGCTTGTGCGTGCTGTGTGTGTGTGTTCCGTGCACCGTGTTTGGTGACGACGGGCGCCTTGCATTCATTGTCTGTTGCAGTCAGCGGCACCGCTTCGAGAGTTTTGGTTCTTCTCCGCTCCCGTCGGACTGCCGGCCGGCGGCGACGTTCGCGCTGCAGGCGCCTGGATACTGACGCGCCTATCGTTTCCCTGGATGGATACCCACTGACCTCGGCTTTGAATCTTTATATAGTGTGAAGCGGCCGACCAATTGCAGTTTGGCTCGGCATCTGGATGCGCTGGTGTGCTTGGTGACAATACTTGGACAACTCGGATACCGCTTGCCCGCCGGAACTTCCCGACATACTCAACACTGGGTACTGTGCTCGTGCGTGCGGTGTGTGTGTTCCGTGCACTGTGTTTAATGACGACGCGACGACGCCTGGACGACCGTGTGCGCCGCCGGAATTACCGCTGCGCTCACCACTGGACTCTACAAAAGTATTTCGTGCGATGCCCTTAGCCGTTACAAGCGAGAGATCGTCGCGATTTCAGACCCAGTCCGCCTGGATCTGAAATCGCGACGATCTCTATGTTGTAGCGGCTAAGGGCATAACACGTAATTATTTTGTAGAGTCCAGTGGTGAGGGCAGCGGGAATTCCGGCGGTGCACCGCCTGGGTTTAAAATTGGGGCTGGAAATGCGCGGTTCCAGGCTGGATACAAACTGGTGCCCCAATTTTGGGTCTAGGCGGATCCGGCATTTTTCATTCCGGCCTGAATCTGACATTTTCGTACGGGGCGAGTCGCTGGTCGCTCCAGCGACTGTCGCCAGTGTAAACGGGCCTTTTTAAATCATTATCGCCTTGCACAAATTTAGGGTGAAGCCCTTTACTGTAAAGTATTAAGTGTTCAGATGTCTTTTTTTCCTCTCCACGTGCCCCACACATCGTATCTACGTCCTTATATTTCGATGTACACTCTAGTTCGGTACGCCCCTGTCCTGGCTTCAAACAACGAGCTTCCCCTGGAATTGTCATAGATACTCCCCCTAGCAACACCCAATTTACATTTTCCATAAGTCGATCTTAGTCCGCTTCCCATATTTCCCCCTCCGCTGCTTTAACGCTTACTGTCATTTCCTGATCTGCGCCATTTTCCGCGTTCGATTTACACCTCCTGCACCGGTGCAGAAAAGTGTAGGGTGGTGCATTTCCGGTTGTATCTAAATACACATACCGGAAGTAGACTGCCCTACACTTTTCTGCGCTGGTGCAGGAGGTAAGTAAATCGAACGCAGCTATTATTGCCCAAAAATATAGACCTGAGTTTTTACAGCGGAGCTATATGCCGACTGGTTTTTGGTCGCAGAGTGACCAAAACAGGTCGCTACCGACCGCAGTCGCTCCCTGACCGATTTTTCAAACCGCAAAAAGGAGTCGCTGGACGGCGGAACCAATCACAGTGTCGTCGGAAGTGATGCGTGCGTTTGTTTACGTCCGGCACTGCCTCCCACGGGAAATAGCGACGTGCGCACGGCGGCGGTAACTGGCATGGAGTTCTCCGCGGAAGCTCTTATTAATGGTGTCAAACACTATCAGTACCCTTACAATGAGCGGCACCCTGACCACAAGGATCGGGACCAAAAGCTGCCGGCTTGGAACGAGATCGGCAAAATATTCAGCATGGCAGGTAGTACAATATCATGTTTGAGGGTCCTGCCGGTGCCTTTGATCAGAGAAACCGTTCGGCCAGCTCGGGAAGGTGTTGATTATCATCCGTTAAGTTGGCAGCGAGCCTGGCGACTCGTCGGTCGCTCAGTCAGGTGTGAACACTGGTGGTCGCCAGTCGCTAGTCGCTCCAGCGACTCATTAAAGCGTCTCTGCAAGGACTTTTTTGCTGGTTTTTAATTTGCACCCAACCTGAGCGCACTGAACGTAGTAACCTAATGAAACTTTTCTTTTCTCGAATTTCGCTTTATTTAAAAAGTTATAGGCGAACTAAAATTAAAAAAAAAAAAATAATAACCTCCTTCATGACGTCCTTGGTTGCATGAGTGGCCTGAACTAGACGAGGGGTAGTGAGCTCAGCGAGCGGTGACGGCGGCGCACCCTGTGTCGCAGGCTCGAGAGGGCGCCACTAAAGCATGTTCTGGATAGACTGCATGAAGCGGGCAGCCAGGGCGGCGCGCATTACATTTGCTGCGCGGTTAAACACTAATTTGGCATGACACTTCATTCACCACAAACGACAGCAAACACGGGGTAAAGATGAGTTCAGAACGGGAGCCACTTCGCGCTGCCATACCGCCAAAAGGCCGACCCGCGAGCCAAAACTGCTCGCCGAAGGCCTTGGGAACGCTCGAAACCGGTCGGATCCTCCAGTCCGTACAACCGCTGCGCCGCCGCGTACATCTGGGACCTTTCTACGCTCGCCGCTCGTTGGCGCCTGATCCCACTACACGTTTCTAGTATGCGTCGCCTTCTCCACCGCTTGGTGGCGGGTATGTCGACGGGTCATTTATTGTTTCCGTACTTTATAAACTGCATTGGTTTCTTTTCAGATCGAAAAAGTGGACAACAACTACTCTTTTAAATAACTGAAACGATTAGCGCCGCTTATATTTTGTATTTCGGTAAAAAAAAATCTTTTAGCGGCTCTGACCAATAGTAAGGCCAGGACCTAAGACGTCACATATCGCGCGCTTTCGGCACCGCGGGTCGCCCCCGTAGGTGGAGGAGGTTCCCGCGTCGTCCGGTTTGAATATAATGCACTGATATTTAGTTACTCTCTCCGTGCCCGCTGGCTTGCCAGAACCCCGAGGGACGTGGAAACCGCAAAAAGGTAGACGCTCAAATATTATTGCAGGGCCCCTCTAACGCTTCGCCGAGAAGCGTGAACTGCCCGTGCCGCAGAGGACGCGAGCTTTTTAAGCATCTTACGATGTCTTAGGACCAGCTTCGCAGCAGCGCACCCGGTCCTAAGACGTCGCAAGAGGCTTAAAAACCGGTCTTGTCTCTCTCGGTCGTTCTAAGTTACAGGTGTGTGAACAAGCCTTTAAAGGGATACTACAACGAAATTTCGGCGCTCATTTTTTTTATATATGTGTTCAAAGGAGCACTATCACATCGAACATACCAATATCTTGATAAAAAAAGTCTCGAAAAGGAATTTTAAAACGAATTAAACGATTAGCAAAGAGCACCTGCTGGATGTCGCTAACGCCTCGCTTGTAATGCCCGTCTAGGAACCTTGACAGCTAGTGACGGAGATTGTCTCACCTCCGGCCACGACGAGAGAAGAGGGGAAGGAGGAACTCCCCTCTTCCCGAGAATGCCTTTTGTGTGTCGCAGAACTCGCTATTGTCCCCCTGCAAGATTTTAGAAGATTAACCCGTCACTCACAATTCGTACAAAAGCAGCCGCTTCGGTGGCTGGAACGACTAGGCCATCCTCTCGACGTCAGCCTCGCTGTAGCTTTGCTCGTCCCGAGACGACCTACGTCAAGATTGCGTTGGATGTCACGTGGTCTCCGCTGGGCCTTCTCCGAGCGCTTGCTAGAGTGGGCCGTTTATAATGAAAAATACAGCCACCAGGCTCAAAATACAAACGTGCGATTGTCATTTACGGATATTGTGGATCATATTCAACCTATTTTTGAACACGACGGTAATATTTCAAATTTCGTTGAAGTATCCCTTTAAAGGCACTAACGGAAAAATAGACGCTGGGAAAGCGGAGATCACCAAGCACAGCTTATTCGACGGAGGGAAGAATGAAGTTGAGGGAAGAATGAAGTTTCGTTGATAATAATAGATGAAGGCTTGTGCTTAGCAGGGATATGAGATTCCTTTGCCCTTCTCCATTGATTACGAATTTAATCAGAAATCAATTAAAATTAAAGTTTTGGCTAGGTGGCGCAAGCCGCCGCCCAAATCAAAGGGGTCAGCCATGTCTATTCATCTCTCCATTTATCTGTCTGTCCATTGGTTTATCCATTTATTAACGCCCTTAGCAACTGTTTGTAACAGAACAGCGCTTGCCTGTTCTGTCTTCCTTTTCTGTCCCTCTCCTTGTGCGCTGTTTAATTATGTATATGCTTAGCAACTGTTTGTGCGTCGCAGCGTCGCCGCGTTGCTAGGAGCACGGTGGCGCCATGTTGTGGCGCAACCGATTAGAACACAAAAAATACAAATATAACATTGTTTTGGTGTCGATATCAATACTGTCTATTTTTGTCTTATCGTCTCCTCTTTCAACCAGAAATACTAGATTACGGTAGTAGCTTTGCTGTAGAGACGACCACTTAAACTGCTTAAATCGTTAGCATTGCCGCGTTATTTAATATGTGGCGTCAAGCGTATCGCTATTAGAGTAACAATTTGAATAACGCGCAATACGATTGGAGAGAGGAAAAAAGCGGAAATACAACGCAAAGAGAACAAAAAACAAGTTTTGCGGTTTGGTTCGTAAACAGGCGTTTCTCAACGTTCCGATGCGAATCTCGTTAACGCTGTTGACGACGGAGTTTGTTTTGCGTGTGTTGTGGTTGGTATGATCATCGAAAGGCACGGATATTTTGCTGGAATGATCTGACCGAGAGACTATCGAGTAAGTAGAAATCAGCCTCTTAATAGAACATAGAACATAGAAGTTCCATGCAAAGTTTCGCTAAACGACCATGGTTTACCAACTTGCCTATTTCCGAAGGAGGTCACGCGCGCGCTGCGTTTATGCGTCAAGAGGACGCACTTCTCGCCAGCATCTCGTAAAGGATTTGAATTCGCAACATTAAAGTGTTTCTGCTCATCGAGTTTTCTATTCTGACGCAAGTAAGTCGTGGAAACCGCTGGCGCAGGAAAAAAAAAACAACATAAGAAAACGTTTTTATTGTTTACATAGTATGACCCGGCCTAATCTTGGGAGCAATTACTTGATTATGCCTTTCGCACTGCGTTGTCTTGACGTTCGTCCCGCTGATAACGTTTCCCGTGCTGCGCTACCCTCCAGTCACTCGAGCAGCGCACACTGACTCTTCACCTTCTATTTCAGCTGGAAGTAATAATGGAAATTGACAGCAGCACCTCAGGTAACATCGAGCTTATGCTCTTCACCCTTCCCTCGGCACATGAACCCAACACTTTCTTTTTAATTGCGTCACAAACTTCAATACACTCTTGTGTAGCTCATGGACTGATGTGATGAGAATGCCGTTATTGAACTTGAGCAAGCAATCATCTCTTCATGAACTGGTTTTAACATAATTTTTTTTTTATCGCTGCAGCCTCTCACAAGGTGCACTTCCCAGAATCTTTGGACACGTTTGGTCATGACTCAAGCATCCTGGTGCAACCGCTCAACGATGTCCTGATCAATGTGCACTTGGGTTTCGTCCAGGTCAGAAGCAGTTTCCGTTATTATCGTGTTGGGTAGCAGTAAACGGGTGAAGCGACGACTTTGCTCTCATCAGGTCTCTTGTTCCACCTCATCTTGGAAACGCTTGTGTCACTTCCAGGTGAACCACAGGTACGAGGTTCGCTTCCAGTTTGCGACGCCTCCTCACCTCGGCAGCCTCTCGGTACGGACCCAGGATCCTCCAAACCTGAACGTCAGAGTGTTGACACTCAGGCCGGTTGACTCGACAGGTGATTGTTGTGGATTGACAGCGAGGCTGACCACATCACGTAGCGACGAGGCAACGATTTGTCCACCGCAAGTGCTGTTTTGTCTGCACTGGCCTGTCTTTTAAGGGCCGACAGTCACAATTCAGATTGCAGCACTTGCTGTGTACAAGCCGTCATCCACTGCAATGTTTTAACACTGAACCCCCTCCCCCCTCAGTGGCCTCGTCGAGGCAGTTCAGTCCAACATGAGGCATTGTCTTTTTTTTGACAAGAACACTGACTGTTTGGCCCAAAATGCTGAAGTCTGCCAGTAAGGCAGTCTTAATCGCTTTTACTCGAAAAGAAACCTCCAGGAAGCCTCCAACTTTGCTATAGTCACTAACCAGGTGAGAACGGTGGGGCATTTCTTTCGAACGCCTGGCCTCCAATGCACGCTGGTTGCCTTTCGCCATACTTTGGCTGTGCGTGTACGCTCGAGGCTTATGAGGCGGCCAAGCGTTAGCGAAGGTAGGAGGCTCCGACTGGAGGCGGGACATCTGGAGCCCCATGCCGCTCTCATTCTGGGAGTGACTATAGGAGCTCTTAGTGACACATTGGCTACCTGCTTGGGCTTCCTCCCTACCAGCGTCGCCTCTTTTTGAGCTTCTCTTGGACTTGGTGACTCGTTGTTTTATTACAAACACCCAGAACATTAGGGGAATATAATACCTGTAGCTATAGAAATGCAGATCTTCGAGCAAGCTAGCCTTTGAAACGCCACTGCCTCTGTGTTGGTGTGCGTCCAAGGACGACTTCTGAATGTGTGTTGCATTGCTACGGGATCTTTGTAAAATCAAATCAAGCGGTGAAAAACAGCTATATTTAAGAGTTAACATTGTAACATTTGTATCCTACTTTGGAACTGAGGTAGTTTGCTCTCTGCTGTGTGCATAGGCTTTACTGATAAGCAGAATACAGAAGTTTATTTTTGTGTCTGTGTGTGTTTTTTTTTTATTTAAACACTTCAGTTCTTGTCTAAATTGTGCAAATTAAAGAAGACAAATCAGTGAGGAAGTGGAGCACAGCTTCAGTATAGAGATAAGTGTATGTAAATGTTTAGCAGTTGTGATAGATGTATTGGTTTTACTCACTTTTGAGATGAATTTTAAATGTACAGATAACTTCTGTGAAAAGATGCTCAGCCAGCATTATCTTGAACAAAGTTTTGGAGTGTGTGTACACCTTTCCTGCGCACAGGTAATATTGTGCATATATTGTAGGACTCTCTGGCAATGCCAGGAATCTGTTGGTATGTGTCTTGAAAGAGCTAGCCCATTGTGCAAGGGCTTACACAATCCGAGGTATCTTCTCGACTTACCTCTGCGCCTGTTTATCTTCTACTCGCTTGCCAAGGACGACAATTTTAGGCTATAGCCTCATCTCCTCCCGACAGTGGTATATTTCCAGGCTGAATCTGACTCCACACTTACCATGGGCAATGCGTTTGCATAATCAATGTCTTGCGAGTGGTAGGATTGACCAAATTCACAAAGTTAAAGTCGCTGCGAAAATCAAGTCTTCGTTTTTTGCGGCCTTCAAGTTTTCCATAAATATGCATAAGTTTGTTTGTTTTCGGATTTCGAATGTTATAAACTTCAGGGGTAAAAATTAAAAAAAATGTGGGCAAGTAGTGGTTTGAATTGAATAGCACAGTGTCATTCTTAGCTTTTACACTGCCAAGAGAACCCTTATGTCATTGGTTTCCCCAGCACTGTGAAGGCTATGAATGACGCACTGCTATTCGATTCAAATCATCATTCGCCCACCCCTAAAATTTTATTTGATTTTAAAATACCAGAGTTAGGGAACAGTTATATTTTAGTATTCTTTTTCGAGATCCTACTCTTTTTTAAGAAAAAATTGGGAAGATTACTACCGGGTTGCACTGACTAACTATCGACGCCGAGATTCAAACGCTAAGCTTCCCAATTGCCGGTCAGGCACGCTAACCACTGCACCACACCATCTTGCCCTTTCGTCATTTTCTATCTGTCTTACTAATGCACCAAGATGAAATGTATCCAATCGGAGGTGTTCTGGAGGCACATGTCGCCGCATGGAATGTGGTACGATGCTTGCCGGCACGTGGTATGTGCTTGTGTTCTAGAATTCCTCTCACTGTTTATCCCGTCATGTGTATGTGTAATGTTTCTTATTTATGAGTTTTTAGAAACACAATATCAACATCTGTGAGAGTCTAGAGCCACGTTTGAATATAGGGTATATCACGGGGCATTTTCATCACCTTATGCGGTCTCCAAAGACGAAATAATCGAAAATATGCATATAAATGAATCATACTGATCAAATGGTATAAAGGGTACGAAGACACCAAAAGACAAAATCTTTGGCGGTGTCGGGATTTAAACTTGGTCGGTTAAGTATCTTTTCTATTATTTTTCTAGAGATGAGAAAAAGTGGACCAAGAAACCATTACTTCCTGATTTCTAGAAAGAAGTCTGACCTAACCCAAGTTTTAGAAAGGACGTCTTGAATATGAATGCCTCTATCGGGTAAATTGCCGATAGAGGTATTTGGATTTTGTATGGAAATCAAAAAAGGTCGCATCTCGGTGAACCACTCTAGGTAGTCAATTTTAGTGCAACACCCTGAGAAATCAATTGTTTATTGTAGGTTTGCATATTAGGGTACATGCTAAGCTATGGTTGCAAGTAGGCATAGCTTTGAAGGGTTCTCGTGAGAAAAACCACATTTACACCATTAGTGACACCTGTAGAGGAGAAGGGCTTGGGTCGGGTGAAATTAATGTTCAATATAGTTCAAATATTGGGCAGGGGACCAGGACAACATGTATCTTTAACCCCGAATCTTTTTGTATAAATTTTTGTTTTTGTTTTGAATACTATTCAACGTAAGACACATGCTGCACATGCAGGGGTGGTCCAGTTGTGCCATTTTGATGAATTCCCGCTTGCTTCCGCCTTGCTGCGCCCAAAGGGAATAATCGCTCCAAACCGTGCCAAGGCGAAGAAATCTGCGAACAAATTGGTTTTCGGAAGAGTTTTCGTTTTTGTCTGGCAACTGCGGGAACCCAGTGGGGTTTGGCCATCGCTATCCAATCCAGGTTTCCGGCTCCGCGGCATTGTTTCACAGGATTCGCACCAATTTTACCGACATTCCTAAGACACCACAGTTTTAACAGTTTTAATTGCATTTTGAAGCGCACTACTGAAGATTAGCAAGCACAAGTAATTCTTTTTTTTTTCTGCGTGCTCATGTTCAGAAGCGTGAAGGGGTGTCCAAACAGGATACTACAAAACATATGACTCCGAAAAATCGTGAAAATTGAAGCGGACGCTTCAATTTTGACGATCTTTTGCAGGAGTTGTGTCGCCCGACGATCTTTGTGGTCAAGCCAACATCACGACTTTCCTCCTCACCTCCCCCACTTTTCTTTGACGTCGGTACTCGTCAGATTTGACGTCGCACGCCACCTGCGTCTGGCTGACCTCGCCAACGACCTGCGTACCTCACCTTCGTGTCATTCCCTTTCCCGCTTTCGGGACTTGAAAAACGGCGCAGGCCTTGAGCGATTGACCGACAGCCAACAGAGCATGTGAGTGGCTCTCCGGATTCACGTGATGAGCAGAGCAAGACCGCCGTGGAGGAAGCGAGGAAGATTTGACGGGGGGAAAGTTCCTCCTTCCCCCCCCCCCCCCCCGGCAGATTGACAGGGCGAAGTTTCCCCCTGGCACAGAAAAACAACCGGAAGCCAAGTGCCGCACGATTTGTCGGAGTCGTGCATTTTATAGTATCCTGTTTGGACACCCCTTGACACTGTTTTATACAAATGTGCTCGCACATGGTTCCCATTTCGTTAGCATGCTTGGTCGGGATAGGGCACTATATAGCTCCCACGGAGCAGAGTAACGCAATCCTTTGAACCGCATGTTTTGCCGACAACATGGCCGACAGAGTAGCTCGGCGCGAGTCACGTCGTACTGAGGGTTCCAGGAAGGGCTGCCCGCCCTATGAAAGAACACATGGAGATCGACGTAACACGGCTGATTAAAAAATAAATGCCGAGTTCACACTTTTCGAAACTAGCCTGTCGTGAAGTTGGTAAAACACTAAACACTTTATCAAAGTTTTCATAATATGGGATGTGTGTGAAAATTTTGAGAAGGCAATCCAAGGCAATGATATTTGAAACAGACGATTTTTGTATGCAGCGGAGATGAACTTTTTGGGTTGGCTGAAGCGGGTCACGTGAATGGTGTGACGTCGCCTTGCCGTCTGCCACATGATGCCGCTCAGGCAATTTTTAAAAAAAATTACGTCCTTATGTGGCACACAACTTAGCTCAAATTATTCTAAAATGTTCCCTTATTATGTCAAAAACTATTGTTGTTTCGTACATCCCCACAATATTAAAGAAACAAGGATTTTCTCACGTTCCCCATGCATTTCTGACTGGAGTTGGAACCTCCGGGTGTTCGCTGCTAGTCGCCGAGAGATGGCGTTCTGGATTGTGCTACTCTGCTCCGAAGGGGCTATATAGTGCTCTAGGTCGGGACTGCTTGGTTACTCAATTGTTGCCTTTTTGTACGTCAAACGATCGCTGAATCCTTGATCGTACAACTCTTTAAAATCTCTATAAATTAGGGAAAACCCAGAATATATTTATTGATTATTTGCTCGTTTCACGTGATAAGTCTTTGTATAGTGCTAATCTAGAGTAGGGGTCGCGAAACCCCGGCCCGCAGATGGCCACGGTTGATGCCCGGCTTTCGGCTGGGCATCACTGGAAAGACCGTGGGAGAAAAGGCCCTCCCCAGCGTTCGCTTTGCAAAAGTGGAAAGAGGAGGGAGGAGCTTCCACTTGACTCTTAACCTCTCACCAACTATAGTACAGCATAACTGCTAAATTTGGGTTCTTAATGGGCATCACGTAACTGATCACATGAATGCATGCCAGTATCACTAATGGGGAACTGCACCATATTGCTCCAAACTTGCATGTGTGCTGCTCCAAAGCTGCTCCAAAAAGCCACTTTTTCTGATACAAACATGCTCCATAACAATATTTTTTCTGCTCCAAAAATTTCTCCAAACTCAAAGCTGGCTGGACCACCATTGCAGATGTCTCCTATGAGGCATAGGGCAGAGTTTATTGTATATGTTGAAAGTGAAACATTATTATTATGACATATTCTTTTACACATCTCTTGAGATTAAGAGCATGTGCATTGCAGAGACTTCTAATACTGAAGATTTAGTTCTATCTGGTACAAAAGGAGCTACAGCAAAGCATTCATAACTTGAAAGTGATATACCTGGAACAAAACCATAATGTTACTACAAGACTTGCTACCATTTTTCCAAAGTAGACAACTAGCTTGACGGCTAGTGTACTTGTCCCGATTTATTGACTGCAGGCACACTTACCTGAATTAAAAAAAATGATAGATCTAAGCCTATTATGCAGGTACCAAACATGTGAAACAATTGTGTTGTGTGTATGTTTATACAGCTGGAAGTTAGTCGGCCCCAATGAGTGTCTGGTGTCTCAGCTGTAGATGAGCAATTTAGCCAGTGCAGTACAACCACTAGCCTGGGGTCTTTAACATGCACCACGCAGTAGTGACACACAACCGCATGCCGGTACGATGCTCGTCCAGATCGAAACGGGCAGGGATAGGGATCACATCCAGGATCCCTGAATTCTGCAGCGCGAGCTTTCGCTCGACGTGCTCTCGACTGGTGTGCGCGAGCCCACTCGGCCACCGATCCCCCGTGGGCAACAAAATTGGACATGCGAGTGATGGAGATGAGATGATGCCAGTGTTGTGATCTGAATGCCATCTTGCGACAGCTTTCTTTCTTCCCTGGCTGGGCTCAGATTTCAAGTACGAGGTGGTTCTAGAGATGCTTGCCTACAAGGAGAAGCTTCTTCGTGAGCAACTGGTCTTGCAGTCCTCAAACAACCCGATGCTCACACTAACACTTGTGCTCAACGCCAGGGTCCTGGGTACGTAACCTCTGCTGACTTTGAACGGGAGTATTGTCATGGCTGCAATATCTTCCCATGAGGCGCCTCGGTGTCAGGTTTCAAAAACTTGTGATGAATGCATCAACTGCCAAGAGTGGTTCTGAATAAAAGCCGCAAAAACTGGGATTAAGAAAAGAAATAGAAAAAACCAGGCCCTCGTGACACTATTTCTCGAACGTTGGATAAAGTATTTGAATCTAATGTTGATGCTTGCTGTGGGGGTTAGTGAACAAGGAAGCTACCCAAATATGGTCACTGAAAAGGTACTTTGAAGGCAAAAAGGAACCTCTTTTTTGTGACATAGGCACATTCGAGCTCAACTTGTTCATTATGCTTTAAAAGGCCACTGCATGCTCAAGAAATTGTTTTGTTTTAACTGCCTGGGTACGTATGAGGGTTATTTGATAAGTTTGGTAAATTTCTGCAAGATGGCACAACAATTCATGTGATGATGTTACAGCTGGCAACTATGGCTCTTCAAACTAGCTCAAGCCTAATTTCAGCCACACGCGACATGTGGTTCACGCTCGAGAAATGTTTGAAGCGGGCACTTCGTCAGCTACAACAAAAATGGAAAAAAATGAGTTCCGTACGGTGTTCAAACATTTTTATTTAAAAAAGTTAATGGCTGTGCAGATCAAAGTCGAGCTGGACGGAGTTCACGGGGATTTTGCACCAGCATTGAAGACAATCTAGTTTTGGGCCGGTTAGTTTCAACGTGGCTGAACATCCACTGAAGATGAAGCGTGCTCCGGACGCCCAGTTGAGGTCACCAGGGAGGAAATCGTTGAAAAAATTCGCGGCATCATTTTGGAAGACCACAGAGTGAAAGTGTGTGAGATCGCTGAAACTCTTGGCATCTTAACGGAACATATTCACAATATCCTGCATGAAATGTTGAGCATGGAAAAGGTGTGTGCACGATGGTTGCCAAAACTGCTTATTGTCGACAAAAACGCGCCTAAAAGGACACTTCAGTGCTGTGTTAGGCGAGGTTGAATCACAACCCAAAGAACTTATGCATCGATTCCCGACGGTGGATGAACTTGAATCCACCACTTGACACTCGAGTCGAAGCAGCAGTCAAAGCAGTGGACAACGACTGAGGAGAGTGCACCAAAGAAGGCAAAGACCATTTTGTCAGCTGGAAGAGTGATGGCCACCATTTTTTTTGGGATACCCAAGGAATTATCTTGGTCGACTACTTGAAGAAAGGTAAAACAATAACAGGGGCTTATTATGCAACATTATTAGATTGTCTAAAAAAAGAACTAAAAATATAACAGCACAGATCAGCACACAAACAAAGTGCTTTTTCAGCAGGAAAATGTGCCAGCCCACAAATCGACCATCGCAATGGCAAAACTGCACAAATTCGGCTTCGAACTGATTTCTCATCCCCACTATTCTCCAAAAATAACTTTTACCTAATCTTTTTTTTTTTTTTTTAGAGGAGGACGCTTTTGCCATTAATGCATATTTTGCAGGTTTTGAGAAAGCCCATTTTTCTGACAAAATTAAAAAAGTCGAAACTCACGGGACCAAGCAAGTGTGTAGCCCTCAGTGGAGACTACATTGAAAAATAAATTAAATTTGAAAAAAAAAAAAGACTGGTGTTTATCTTGCTTTTTTACCGTACTTATCAAAAGACCCTCGTATGTCACAAAATGCATGTTCCCCTCCACCCACAAAAGAAATAACAACCACCAAACAAAATTATATATGCTGCAAGATGGTTTAGACGGATTCATGGACGGTGCATGGGGGCCAGGTTTCTCCACATTCCTCTCGCACTTTTTCGCTTCACGCTTTTGGAGTAGAAGTACATGGTGGGAATACCTCAATGAGGTGGTGATTTGGGCCAGTTGGTTCATATCTAAAGAAAACAGCGCCAAAATGACACAAGGCAAGAGGGACTAGACAAGGCACATTCTCAACTGACGTTTATTTGAAAACAAGTATATATAGTTACTGAGAAATGCCAAGTAATTACGTATTGCGGCACAGCCCGCATTTCAGATCTTACTTTGTAGATAAGGCTAAGGATGTGTCACTTACGCTTGTTTTTCCTTTACGGTGCATGTACGGTCATCCGATACATGCACCGTACGCTCAATGTTAAAATGCACCAGTTATTTTTTCAGCACCTAGCAAAATGGCACGATTGTGTTGCAGAATCAATAACCCAGAGCCAAACATAGTTTTGTGCCGCACTAAACACTGGAATAAGCTCACCGATTGCAACACGGGTTGTTGTATATATGTGGGATGCTGTATATACATAGGTCAGATGGGTAGATATGTAATTGATTGTTTCTGTGAGCATGCAGCTTCCACAAGATCAACACCGTCAAAACACCGTTTTGTTCATTGTTGCAAATGCTACAATTTCCAAAATTTAAAAAAAAAAAGTTTTTTTTTTTTTTTTTTTTTTTAGTTTGCAGTGTCCTTTTAAAATGCAAGGCATGCTGTCTTGAGATTACAATTCAACATTTTTCCCTTCAAGCCTTTCGAAGGTCATAGTTTTCAGATCTTCGATACCCAAAGAGTTTTCTTCTAACAAGACATCCTTGACTTTCCGGTTAGGAAAGGGTGGGTCACTGGGAGTCAAATCTGGTTTAAAATGTAATACCCATTGACCTGCTTCTGCTAAAAGTAGTTCAAGAAGTCCTCATAAAGGGGGGGGGGGGGGGGGGGGGTCTTGAGCTGAGAAAGTGCTGAAAGTGAGTGGTTATGATTGATCTGTGGAACTGGGGGGTGCCTTTGTCATGGGATTAATCCTTGGAAATTCAGGTGGACTGGGCACGTGGCAATTGGGAGGTAATTATGTTGTAAAATTAATTATCTTCCCCTCGGAGCTGCTTCTCATACAGTATCAGGTCAGCTAGATTACTTATTGAGCACCCCTCGTAGTTTGTTTTTGAGCAATTAAATCGAATACACAGCAGAATTTAAGGTGATGCGTGAAATTGTACCAAGAATGAGTCCATGCTGAAAGGAGGACCTTCTCACCTCCTTTCAGCTTTCTATTTAATATAAAATTTAGTCGAGATATGAGTGCCGACTTTTCTTGAAAGTTTAAATACCGCAGGTTTCACAGGATCGTGCAGGCTACAATTTTTGTAGTCTAAGGAGACGTGAAAACTTGAGGCTGCGGCAGTGATGCCCGGCACATGACTGCATGTATAAAGTGTATAGGCTTGACCTTTTCCTTTCAGGAAAGGGCAAGGGCACCCCATTCCTCAAGACAGGCATACACTGTATCGGAGTGGAGATGGAGGAAGAGTCTGACCTGAGCGACTGGCAAGGCTTTGACTGAGCTGCCCCTAGCAAGGGTTTAAATTCCCTTGCAATGCCCTTTGAAGAAACATTTTTATTGGAGAGACTGGCTGGCACTAGGAGTTTGCAAAACAAAACTGTCAACATGGAGAAACCACTGCTTTGAAACTTCCCTTTTTTCACCCCCTTGGTTCATTCCGAACCAAAGTTGCCTGCCTTCATTTGTTTTTATTCTTATTGATGTGCTGGAGAGGCGTCGGGATAGCCATTACTAGTCTTCTCAGTGCCTAAAGACACATGCGCCACAAGGTGGCCGGCACACCCTCTGAATGTGAAGTTTTATGTTGATGGGGAAATTCTGTACAAACAGTTCCGATAGTGACTGGGATTCAGATGCATTTTTATGGACTAAATGTTATCACTCTTAGTTTTCAAGCGTCATATACTATAAGGCAAGAAATTCGCACTATAGGGTTTAATTATTATAGAAGGTTGAATCGGTGTTTTGAGCAGGTTTTGAGCTCTTTATCGCAAGAAGCGTGGTCACCGCTTGAAACATATATCAAACCTTTTACAGTAACTGATGGCACGTTTGCCAGCACACTGCTTCTACCTTGTTTCATTTTACTGATACTGTGACTTATTTCTGTAGGCTTGGGTCAACCCCCCACCAATCTGACCCTCACTAGTCTGATAGGCTTTCCTCCCTAGCAGATTATGGGGACACTGTGTAAAATATGTCTGCTAATATGGAACGTTTACTTTATGGCTGCTTGTGGCATAAATGAGTGGTCACATTATTGGGGGTTGATCCTCTTTCATAACTTCAACTAGAACTGAAACTTCTAATTACCGGGTGAAACAAGGAGACTGTAGGCTCTTTAAATCGACCGGAAAATTCGGTTTCTTAACCTATCGCGCTACGACTTTGTGCAGCGTTGCCCACAGATGGCGCATTTTTCTTGTAAAATTTGCAAAGAGCGAACTTACCTGAGGAAAAAGTAAAGAAAGAAAAAGGCTTAGCTCCTATGGAAACGCAGCGACGCCACCGTTCTGCAAACAACACGACGCCGTTTCGCACGGAAGACAAGAGATGGCGCAAGCGGTCGCGACGCCAACTGCCGCCAACGAACGAGCAGACGACACAGAGAGCCGGCCCTTTTGCAGACAAGGAACTGCAGTTCCTTGCTGTTACCGCGCCTGTCTTTTTTGTTTCTGCTACTGTCGCCGCCTGCGGAACGCGCGCCGTTTTTGAGTCGAAAAGATTGTCTGCTAAAAAGGTCTGCTCTCGGCGCCGTATGCTCGTTCGTTGGTGGCATTTGGTGCGCCATCTCTTGTCTCCCGTGCGAAACGGTGTCGTGTTGTCTGCAGACTGGTGGCGTCGCTGCGTTTCCATACGAGCTAAGCCTTTTTCTTTCTTTACTTTTTCCTCAGGTAAGTTCGCTCTTTGCAAATTTTACAAAAAAAAATGCACCATCTGTGGGCAATGCTGCACAAAGTCGTAGCGCGATAGGTTAAGAAACCGAATTTTCCGGTCGATTTAAAGAGCCTACCGTCTCCTTGTTTCACCCGGTATTTTGTGTAGTAAAAGATTTAAAGGGGGGACAAGCAAGCACAGCGAAGCTCCTAGACAGTTCCAACTTACAAGGCCAAGTTCCCATTACTGTTTTTCTTCTTTTCTATCAGAATATTGAGTAATTCATGGCATATGACAGTGCAACTGCAAGGTTGGCTGGCCAACTGGCAGTGGTATCTGCTTCGTACAATGCAATCCATCTCCTAGGTGTTCAATACAAGAGTTGTGGTGCCATGTCAATGCTAGTATAATATAATATACAGAATTTCTATATCTGTGTAATAAAGTTTTGGAACCTTTCTACTTTAGGCATGCTTGTAGCGTCCTTCTTTTGGCTGATTTTGACCTTCTGCAAGGACATTCAGATATTTTTTCTGGCATTGTGGTTCTGTAAAGTTTGATAATGGAAAACAGGAGACAACAAAACTGTGCTCTTGTGGATCTCAAATGCTGGGTATGTGCAAATTTAATGCACTTCCAAGATGTGGCAGGGTTATGTCCTTTTTAATCATTTGGCTGAACGATTGAATGATTCCTTAGAGTCATAGCCTGTTGACAAAATTGGGACATTGTTAAAGTCTGTGCTCATGCAGCCTTAAGCTTCCAGGGGTTGCAAGAAATTCTTTTTTTGCCCCTTAAACAAATTTGCAATAAGTTGTCGACTCGTATTGTTCTATGCACGACTTGCACTATACTTCGTGTTACCTTAATGTGGACCACAGCAGACTAGAAGCACGAGTAGTAGGCAGCTTTAGTAGGTGCTGCTGCATGTGTGGTCATTCAAGTCAGGCACTTCCTTAATTAAGCAAAGAATGCATGCTTTTGCAGTGGTTCATGCTAAAGGGATATATGAAATTAAAGTTTAAATATACCTATCATGTTCAGGAATAAGTTAATATGATCAACACTATCTGTAAATGACAATCTCACTTTTGTATTTGGAATGAATGGCTATATTGTTCGTTTGAATCTGGCAAGCGCTCGAAGAGCGGCCATTGGAGAGCATGATGTGTGTAGAGAGGTTGAGCGCATTCATGATGTCCATTGTCTCGGCACAGGCAAATCTACAGCGAGGCAGGCGTGGTTACAAGCTTCACCACTTGGTGGTATGAATGCGTTATGACTAGGGTTCCGCGTTTTCAGTTTTTATTTTTTCGAAATTTGGCGTACTTCTTTCGGTGTTTAATTTAAAATTAAATTTTCTTTTTTTTTTCAATGTATATTTATTCTCAAAAAAGGTTTACCGGTTTATTTCGGTGAATATGAAAGAAACAACATCGGACACCGGATCAGATGAGCCTTGTAGCTGCGATATTTGTGATCACTCAAAAAATAACTGCACATATACATAGGTGGTCTTTAACTTCCGTCAGGACACACCTCAAGATCGCGGAATTCGCGGGCGTAATCTTCAGCGCACTTTTTTTTTCCTTCCCATACCAACGACGTGACCGTCTGAGCTGATGACCGTACAAGAACCAGTGGAATGGCAAAAAGAAAAATCCATTGTATTTGTGTTTTTAACCACAGGGAAGTCTGAGAGAGGTGTTAAGAAAGTTATTAACGGCTTTCCTTGATGTCCTCTGAAGCGCATGAAGCAAAAATCCTTATACTAGCCCACATCCAAACTTTCTTTCTTTTTTTTTTAGGACCAGGATTTTGACACACTAAGCCCGATCACAGAAAGGACTCAGATGTACCGTAAAGGCCAATCCAAGACCTCTTTGGTTGCATGTTGAACCTTGGAAGAGGGCAATCACGAAGAAGTCGCACAATGTCGAACCTTGCAAAGCCCTCTCTCTCTCCCCCCTTCTTCCGGGTCTTCCCCAACCACACCTCGACGCGGCCCTAAAAAACAGACCTTTTTCGGTTAAAAACCCCAACCTCTATCTCCTCTCACTTTATTCTGTTCCTGCCCCTCTGCATGTTTATGAACCCTATGTTAAGCTGTTTCTTTTCCTGTTCCTGCGAGACTTCCTACCACCCCCCCAAACCCTCCCCTTTGGATCTACATTTTGGCTCTCATTTACAGCGGCGCCCTCAGGGCTCTGGGACCCCCCAAAAAAATTTATGATGCGACGTCCAATTTTATTGCCTGCCGTGCTACCAGTGGTTCTTCTGTAGTGGATGCCCCATGGTACAAGGGTCGGAGCGAGCCTCGTACACCATCCTGCTTACTTCCATTACTCTATACTCAAATTGTCGGCTCATCCCCCTTATCACCTGGTTAACTTCCACCACCCGCTTCTCTATCTGCAAAGACTGTCCCCAGACCTCTGGGATGGTGTGCATTTGCACATGCACCGTCTCAGAGACCTCCCTCAGCTTGCATAGCCCCAACTCTATCTGCCTGCCAAGGTCCCTTTAACACATCATTTAGTCCTGCATGTACTATCACTAGGTTCTCTCCCTCCACGCTTCTCCACACCTCCTCCTGCGCTTTGCCCATAGCATCTACAATGCACTTTTCTGACTGGGCCACGTTTACCCTCCCATCCCCTTTCACCCTGTCCAGCAGCCCCTCCTTCACCCTTGTTATGTTCCGAGTCTCCTACCACCAGCACCTCCTTAAAGACTGCCCGTCTTCACACCCTCCAGCTATCTGTGCTTTCTCTGCCTCAACCTCTGCTGCCTTCCTCGGACCCCATTGTACTGCAGCGCTATACAAATGTGCAGGCTCCTTTCTTACACTGGCAACCACCTGGTCACCAGTGAACTGTCCCCCTGGGTCTGCCGCTCCTACCGCCGTCTTCTCTGCCACCTCCCCCTTTTTCGTATTAACTACTACTGTCAGTTGCTGCACCATATGCTCACACTTCTTATGCTCCTCCAACTCCGCCTTCCACTCTTCTCCCTGTCTAAGCTCCTCTACTTGTCGCTCAAGCTCTGCTCGCTGCTCCCGTTCTTGCCCAAGCTCTCCTGCCACGCTCCCTACCTTGCTTTCCCCATTCCCTGGTCGTCTCTTCCACATCTGCTTCAGCCCTCTTAATCGGATCTCTGACCTGCGCCTCGAGCTGAACCCGCTTTTCCCGCTCTACCCGTATCTCCCGCTTCAACTCCTCGACCGTAGCCGCTCATTCCCGTCCTATTCTCCTGAAACCATCCTCAACCATCTCGCAACTCCGACATGTAAAGCTGCTCCCCTTGGCTTCTGCTACTTTCGAACTCCGTCTCCATCATGTAGCACAAATGCCCACACTCTTCACATTCTATATTGTGTCCTTCTTTTACTTTAGGCTTCGCATCCTTTTTCCGTCGCGTATTCACCACACCTACCGACGCATGGCGCGACCCTCTGACAAATATCCCGCCAAAACTCGAACCAAGAAAGCCTGAGTACGCCTCAGCCCACACAACCAAGTAGCCAGCCAAAAGTTCCGAACGTGCACGTGGTTCGGTCTCGTGACCCTAACTAAAAAGTCTACTTTAACCTAACTCCCTGATCCTACCGCTACTTTACTGCTTTCTACTACCCCATAAACACACACGCAACTAAACTAAATATACCAAAAATCACTTAGCTTCGCAGGAGCTCCGGAAGCACGTCCTCTTTAAAAAAAAAAAAAAAAACCAAGCCCCACTGGATTCCCAGTTACCAGACCCCCATCTTCACAAAATCTCTGGGCTCTATGATGGAATTCCTGGCACCTCGTCTTTCATCAGTGTACCTCTTGGTGCGTTGTTGCTGCTCCAAGACCCGGCACTGCAGCTTTGCGATGTGCGCCTGTGGCTTGTCGAAGAACTTTCTCGGGGAGTCCGACCACGTCCAGCCTGGTCCGTGGCCTCCTTCCAGGTAACAGATATGCTGGAGACTTGCCTGTTGTTGCAGGGGGTGAGGGTGTGGCTCTTTAGATGCTGAGGTACTCCATCCAAGATGGCTTCCTTGAGGGGTCTTTGCTCCTTGAAACACGATTAAACCGTTCGATCTGACTATTGGCAGTGCTCAATCCCTCATCCCGTAGAAACATCAAAATACGACGACACAAACTGATGCCCATTGTCAGTCACAATGCTCTTTGGATAGCCTTCCTGTGAAAAAAGTTCCAACAGCACTTTAACCACAAACTGCGACGTTACCGACGACACAAAAAAATCTCTGGCCATTTGCTGTGATAGTCGATCACGGCTGCTGTGAACCTACATTCAGGTGATGCCCTTTCCATTGGACCCACAATGTCCATACCTAATTTTTCCCAGGCTTTTTCGGGCCCTGCACCGGCTGTAGAGGAGCTGCAACAGTCTTTGCAGATTTGTCTTAGGCCTTGCACAGTTCCTGATGGTGCTCTCTGCGCAGTCATCCATCCTACCAAGAATGTTCCCGCAGTTTATTCATTCTTGCGATGCCTGGATGGGATTCGTGAGCTACTGTGGTGAATCTGGGTCTAAGCGTTGATGGAGGCACCACCCGCTCTGCACGAAAAAGGACTCTTGACAACAGACAGTTCTTCCTGGATGCAGAAAAATAACAGTGGCTTCCTTGACAGTCTTTTCTTCTCTGGCCAGTTTGACGTAACATATTGCATCACTTCCTTCAACACTGGATCAGTCTCGGTTGCTGCTTGCAGTTGGCTCTTTGTTACAACGCTTGACACTGAGGCAATGACCTCTTCCACTGGCTCACCTTGTGTTAACAGTAGGGGCAACTGGGACAGTGCATCCGCCACTACATTGTTCTCCCCTATCGTGTATTGCACAGTAAAGTTGTACTGCAGTGACCGGGCACACCACCGCTCGATCCGAAGTGGATGCCTCCCAGTACCATTTGTGGAAAGAAGTGTCACCAATGCCCAATGGTCAGTTCGTAACACGATGGTTCTGCGCCACAGATAGTTAAGCCAGCGTTCACAGGCCCATAAGCATGCGAATGCCTCTCGTTCCCCTGTAGCGTACTTGAGTTACTGCGGTGTCAAAGTTCTCGATGCAAATGTCACCGTGCAGCTCTCTCCATCGACAAGTTGCTGCAGCACGGCTTCTAGCCCATAGGCAAATGCATCAGTCATCAGCTGTACCGGCAGAGATTTGTCAAACATTGACACTGCCCCGCATGAGGCGAGCAGCATCTTGGCCTTGAAGAAACTCTCATCGGCCTCATAATCCCAGACAAACTACTGGTCTTTGTGGCTTCACCACCTCTGCATGTGGAAGAAAATGGGAATATTCCATTAGTCCGAGAAAGGAACGCAATTCGACCAAGTCAGTTGGTGCTTGTGCATTTGGGATTGTCTCTACTTTTGACTTGACTGGTGCAAGTCCCCTTGCATTGACGGAGTGGCCTCAAATGTGAAAGCTTTGCAACACCAAAAAGGCA